CGCCTGGGCTGCGGTTCTACTTTATAAACAGAACCTCCCTCCCTTCAGTCCCCTCTGTGTCCCTCCCCCTAACCTCCCGATCCCCCAGCCAAACATTCCGCGAGAGCACCGAGTCCACTACTTTTCGACTAGTGTCCTTCACCAGTGCGGGTTACACGGTAAGCGGTCAACCCCCATTTACTATTTCCCCTCATTGAACGTTCGTCAAAAATTCGCTCTCGACACAACAGCCCAAATCTGTCGAAGCGCAACACAAAAAAAAGAAACCTTGACGGTGGTCGACAACGGTGCAAAGAAAGCATAGCTGATCGGCGGTGGTGGTATGGCGGTTGCGCGCGTGGCAGGTCCCAGACATAGTGACAGTGTATCAATATTTGAGGTTGACGGCGTTGCTGCCGCGCCTTGGGAGCTATCATACATCTATAATACGTAGTTTTGACCGACTAACACCCAAGGTTTCCAACGGTTGGAAATTAGGTAAATGGACCCTTACCCTCTCCCCACCCAGTTCCTCTTATGGCACTACCCGAGCAGCAGTTTTTCCCCGCCTCTCTCTTTACAACTAGACCCTACTTGGCTTCTCTCATCTAACATCTTCGCAGTCGTACAATATTCCGCCGTGGTGTGCCCCTTCCTCCCCGCTTGTAACTGATTACCCTTTCGGGGTTCTCATGTGGCGCCGAGCTTGGCTTTCCTTTGTTTTTCTCTCCTTCTGCGGGGGCAGGATCCTACACCCACGCACAGCGGAGGCCCCTCGGGCGGGGAGGCCGTGCGCATAATAAGAGACTTGGAGATATTGGAGAAAGCAACACCCTACACACGAGAAATCAATCTCTGCACAACCGAATTCTTTCAACAAAAGAAGAAATGCTTCCAAGAGGCCCTCTAGTGCATAGGGTTAATGGTGTCTATGTTCTTAATTTTTGATTCTGCGGTGGGACTATTCATGATAAACCGTAAGCAACATGGTCAGAAATATTTGTTGCAGTGCCCTTACGGGAAAGGAGGGAGCTTGGCGTTGCCGAATTAGGAAAGATTTCTGAATTGGGCTCCGCACGACCCCCCCGCCTGAGGAGTCTCCCACGCCGCAAGCGCTCCCGACCCCCTCTCCCATAAGCACTGATAACCCTAGACTGAATACTCGAGTACTAGTTAGTCGGGCAATCAGAAGGCTTAGGCAATTCATTTCGGTTATGTTCGCAGTTTTTTATATTTTTTGAGTCAAGTGGATCGGTTTAAAGTACAAGACCAGAGCTCACTCGCCGCAATTCAACATACCGGTAAGCTATGGGGAAAATGCCCAAAGAACGGACAAAAGAAACACATCCAAACCTCCTCTAATGTCCCCAATCCCACGTCCCTTCTGGTGTGAGACCAACTGAACCCCCCCGAATCAGAAAAGGCAAGCATCCTCCGAAATAGGAAATGTACACAGAAAAGGAAGACACCAGCAGGAGATGAAAGAGTGAGATGGGCTGGGGGAAAGTGACTAGTTAGGACTAGAGACTTAGGGGGCTCTTGTGGAAGAAAAACAAAGCGATGCCCCCGTAAACCAGAACTCTAGATGCGTCAGGAATTAAATACTTAACTGAAGCAAACCCCATAAGTAGGCCAAAAAATGAAATTTTGGGAGCTTCCCGGGTCAGTGGATTGAAAAGAACAATAAAACTAGGCCCTATGTGTTCCGTAAAAAATTGAATAATCGGACAGTGTGCTATGTCATGGGAATTTCACCTCTCATTAAGGTTCAGAAACCTTGCTTCCCCCCCACCTCGTAAGGGGGAAAAGGACTGTTTTTGCTATGTTTGTTTTACCCCTTTCCGGAGAAGGAAATTTTTGACCACGTAGCACACGGTCTAATTATTCAAGTTCTTGCAGTAGGACGTAGAAGAAGGTAGAACAGGAACAAAAGAGAACTGGAGGCGATGCTTCCATTTGACGGAACCCAAGGTCGAGCTTTGGGTCGAGCGATGGAATAGAGCGGTATCCCTTCGTCGGAAAAATAGCGGATCCGTTGGGCTATGCCGGGAGCATATAAGTTGGGAGTTGGAATGAACAGAGAAAAAGAGGTCGACTGGGAGAAGTTAACAGTGCGTAAGAAATCGGGTCTCGGCGAAAAACGAAAGTGGGAGAACACAACGGTTCAATAAACCCTCCCCGCTGGGGCTCAACCAATCAAGCAACTCATGCATGCAAAAGTAGCCGTGGAAAGATCGGCCGGGTGTGGGGAGAGTGCGCCACTACTGGGAGGGGCGATATGTTATGATAGCAGTGCCTGGGGCTAACCTCTGAGTGATTCAGGGCGCAGTTGAAAGCTATGCTTATTCCGGGCATGGGCACGGAGGTTATCCTTTATTTTGATACCCTTACTCCCGACCCTCCTGCATCCCGGTATCGGACAGTCCAGGCGTTTTTGGAGATGCTTTGCTTCTTGATGACGGGTTAAGGCCTGCTTTGTCTGGAAGGGGTATTGCCGGTCGCAGCCAGGTTCTTTGCAAGCATAACACCTCTGGGGGGATGCTCGGATTCTGCTGTGGGATGAAGTTGGAGGCGAAGGAAGACGAGTGGGAGGGGAGGGGGTGCTGAGAGGGACGGCCAACCTTTTGAGGGCATCCATAGGGTGGTGGTTATCCAGTGGATATTTTGTACAGCTTTGGCTGCGGTTGGATGAAGCATTGGACCATTGACAGAGTAAAATCCATCATCATCTGGATAGAGCGGGAGATTCCCGCAACCTGGGGGCAGTGGATGCAGGGTTTCGAAATCAGTAACGAATACTGTTGTACGATCGCTGATGCTATTGGTGGAGAGAAATCTGCTACCATCGCGTTAGTAAATAAAGTAAGTGATGCACGATCACTCCCGAGGGCCCTGAAGCTTGGTACTTCAATGCTGTGTATAGCGGGATGTAAGGTGCATCTAGGATGCAGAAGATACACAAAAGCTTCACTGTGTTCCACTGCGGGGCGCAGGAAGTATAATGTGTATCTCTGAGCTCCCTGACCCGGCCGACATTTCCCCGTTCCCAGCAAGGTAATACTGTTCCAGGTCTCTCGGCCGGCGGCTGACTCACAAAGTCATCAAGTAGCCTATTCAGGTTTGTGGTGCCTAACAAAGCCAAGTTAGTGGGTAAATGATGGAATTGTTAAAGGAAGGGTTTTGTCGTTGTTGTCGCTGGGGGGCGCACTGCAACTAGGTCTAGGGGACTTTATATTGAATTTGAGATGTGGAGGCGGAGAGAAAAAAGAAGCGTCGCTCATCCCGTGCAGGCCTCCACCCCGCGGCAGCGGTAAGTATAGTCTAATTATAGACCGTCGAGCGTGAAAAGGTGGAGAGTAGCCGAAACCCACCTGCTTGCACGGGTTCCAGACTGAGCGTGAGCGGGATAACCTGTAAGAGAGGAGAATGGAGGGATGGAGAAAACAGGCGGAGAAAAAAAGAAAAAGAGATCCTGCGGTAAACGTTGGCTTGGTAGATATTGTTTGTTGTCCCGTCTACTGTGCTGTACGCACCGGCTTAGGCTTAATCCTCCAATCCGGCGTTTGTTGACCGTGGTTATACCATCTCCAGTAGAAGTGCAGGACCTCCCGTGAGGGGTAGTAAGTTATAGAGTAGAACACCTGGGCCTTTTTTTGGTTGATTAGATTGAATTGTTTTAGGTACAAGCTAACACGGAGAGAGCACTTCCCTAGGTACTAACCGTTGTACTCGAGAGGTACCCCACGGCAAATAAAATATTTAAAGCTATGATAAGAAAAAAAGGAATGAAAGTAACAAGAAGCCTGCAATACCTAGCCCAATCAGAAAACTCGACTCATTTATCTAGAAAGCAGGGAAACCTGTCCTTGTATTGAAGGCGAAGAAGGTTGCCATCCTGCCAATAGCCAACGCCTCGCAATGGTCGTTTGGTGTTTGCGTGGTCCGACGTATACGGTGCATCAACCGGAGGTAGAGCAATGCCGGGGATACTGGCATACTATATACGGGGTTAAACTGTGTACCTCTGTTAGTTCGGTAGGGGAGCGGCACTAACTCAAACTGCTAGAATTACTGAATAGCTTCTGGTACCGGCGGTGGTATATGAGAGGTGTGTGATGGATAAGAAGTACGATACTGGACACAGGAAAACCGGGAGTAGGGTGCCGGCCGGGTATTTTGTGTTTTTTTCCTGGTGAGGGAAGCTACGGTCGGTGGGGGTAGGGTTTTCAGGCATATGGCATGGATTGGGGGGCTCGTTCTCTGGTTCAGTGGGTAGATATGTAGAGAAATTCAGAGGAGGCAAATATTTTCCATGATTCAGTGGGGTGCCTAGTCCATCGTAATTCCAAATATATGGGCAGGAGTGTATCCAATATGTCACTCGTTTATAGAGTGTTTGCAAAGGGGCAGTCGGTCCGCCGGGTCCTGGAGCGAATTTTGCCAGGGGCATTTGGCAAGAGGACGGGGAAGACCACGGGGCACGGCAGCTAGTTGATAAATTTTCTTAGATTGTGGGACCCTACGGCGCACCATGGAGAGGGTGTTACGAACCAATACCCCCAGATCCCTACAGTCCTCGGGTGAAACTCTGTAGTCTTTTGCACTCACCTCCAGGCCTTGAAGGGGGCACTGCAAAATTATGTCTCAGCATGCCCCGCCTGTGGTCTTTGCCAAAGCCTGCAGTCCCAAAAGTCCGGACCAGATGGACTATAAATTTTCAATCCCTCGAGTCCAGCCTTCTGGGAGTCTCCCCATAGAGCCTCCAGGTCCCGCGGACCGTTGGGAACACCGCTTGTACGATGGAGCCTTTGTAGTCGCTTCCAGTGCTCCCCTCCTAGTGGCACAGTGGTCCTTGGGTTTCGTTTCCAAGTTTGGCCTAGTAACGAGAAGCATGATTCAAGAGCACTTCTGACCAGAGGATGTGAAAACAAAAAAAACAGCTTTTAGGAATATAGCTAAGCTAGTGAAATGAAAGCAAGCGAACCGTTAGCCACCCCAATATTCCCATTCCGGGCTCGAGTAGTGCTTCTAAAATGCCCAATGTTCATGACCTCTGCTTAGAAGAGGGTGTGCAAAAAAGAACAAATTTTAGAACTACAGCCAATCTAGTGAAATGCAAGTAAGAGAACTATTAACTAATGACAAGCACCAACTTCCCCTGCAACACTATCGTAACATTTAAAACACGCCCAATATGCGTGATTGACTACTGAAAATTGATCTTCAATGTAACCCTCCATGAAGCCACGACCTTTTGTTGCAAACTGGGTGATAAAAACTGGGAAAAGAGAGAAAAAGTGATCATGGCAGGGCTGAGGGTTCGACGTGCGTGCCGTAGCATGCAAGTTAAGCAAATTTAGTGTCTGCAACAATTCTAGAAGGGTTAACTAAATGTCTCATGTGCCTGTGGAGAAGGTAAACACTTACTAAGCCGTCCAACAACATCCGGGTGCAGCCCATACAGTTCAATGAAGCTGGCAAAATCATCCCGTGGATTCGTTTCGGTGTATAGTAAGCAATCGGCAACAGCATCGCCCCCATGGGCCTCCTGGTTCCCCAGTTGGATGAACTTGAAATCGGTATCAGTTGGAGTTCTACGAATGTCCCGATTGTAAGTACTAATATATCGGTGTCTGACACTGTTGTGAGACTGGGGAGAAAGCGACAAAAGGCGGACGCGACCTTCGAGCAGAGCAGTGTCCGATTTTAGGTCGTGGATTTTCTCCTTCAGCTGTTTGCTCTTCTGTTCTAGTTTTGCCACTTTTGCGGGAGAGACGGCATATCGAAGACCAACTTTGTTTCCCACAAACATATTCCCGTTGTTGTCTCCATCAACACACAAGTCATCCTCGTTCAGTGCCACTTCCAAGGCCTCTTTCGCCAGCCCCTTCATCATCTCTTCCTCTGCGATTGCAGTTTCCGTGACTAAGATAGCGGCACATTCGGCCCCTTCTCCAACTGTTTCGGCGGGGCCAGCCGAATCCTCTCTCATCTTGGATTCCAGACGCTTTATCAAATCTTTTGTCTTCCCTCCAGCCGAAAGACCCTTTTCCTTGCATTCCCTCTGAAGCCTCCGGTGTTTAGAAGACATGCTTGATATTTACGAATTCTGTCGCAACGATCTCGGTGGAGGGCAAGTCTAAGTAAAGCCTGAGTTGGGGATTGGATAGGGGAATGAGTTCAGTAGAGTGACGTATTGGGCGGAGTGAGAGTTTGGGAATCAGGAGGCGTTTGGTAGGGTTGGAGGTTTGGTAGGGAGGTGTTCAGTAGGGCAAGGGGTTTGGTAGGACCAGAGGTGTTGTCGATGAGCTAGCCGTTCGGCAAAGAGGCTGCTCTATGCACAAGGTCAGTGAATGGGAATGGCTCACTAGGATGGGGGCTCGGTAGGACAAATGCTGTACTCACATGCGTAGTCCAGAAGCCGGTGTGGTGGTAGGGCAAGTGGGTTGACAGGGTAAGAGGTTTGCCTGGAGAGGCCTTCGATCCAAGGCGAGGTTAGGGAAGTGAAGAGGTTTGGTTCGTTGAGAGGGGTTTGCTTTGCGGGAAGTCGGGTAGGGCCAGTGGTTTTCTTGGAGACAAGGTGGGAAAATTCCGGGAGACTTGATTGAGTAAGGCTCTGTTTGGCGGGAACGGAACCGTTTGAGAGTGTTCAATTTTCTCATACAAAAAGACTGTTACGAAACGGAAGGGTAAGAAATTTTGTATGGGGAGCGGAACGGAACGGAGGCGGATGGTCGTATCCAAACAGACCCTAAGAAGGTCAGAAATGGGCGAGGTTTAATAGGGTAAGATACCTTGTTAGATAAGAGGTCTGGCGAGTGAGAGTCGGGTAGGGTGGGGGGTTTGGTTATGTGTGGGATTGAAACATGTGAGAGGGTTGGCAGGATGGGGGTGTGGTAGGATGGAGGGCTTGGTCAGAGGGGGGGTTTGGTAGGGTGAAGGTTTTGCTCATGTGCATGGTTTAGCAGTGGAAGTGGTTCGGTAGGAGGGTTTGTTCTCCCTCCACAACCACAAATGGCAAGCCACGCACAAACACAATCTCCTATTCTCTTCACCCTACACCAGTGTTCGTTACGAGGCCTCCGGGGCCCCTAAAACTGCGGGTCCCTGCCCCCGTTCCCAGCCCCGCCCCGCCCCGGTGTTTGGCCCGGGGCGGGACTGTTTTCTCCTCCGTTCCCCCCCCTGCCCCGATACGGCCCCCGCCCTGGCCACCGCCTGTATGGGGCCCCGCTACTGCTCCCACCAAATTATATGGCTGGGAGCACAATTGGGGTCGCCCGGTAGCCCCCGTGCGGGGGAGCGGCGAGGGGGGAGTTTGGCGGCGCCCAGTGGCCGTTACGGGGCGGGGATAACATGCGGAAACCCGCCCCGCCCCGTAACGAGCACTACCCTACACTCAAATCCCAAGGCACCTCCCACTCGTTACCAAGCGACCCCACTACGGTTAGGAAACTGTAAATTACAGTTTTGTAAATTAGAATAAAGTACTGTAAATTGACCATAAAAATTAATACTTTACTTAAATTATTTCTCCTGAGAAATAACGGTCGGTTTAGCATGCCACCAGAAAGGAAAAGTGCCATATTTCTGGAAGCAGAATATTTTTTAATAATACAACTATAATAACTCAAGGGTAGAATTTTTGCCTAGAGTAAGTTAACGGGAATCACCCCGGTGATTCTGGCAAAAATAAAAGATGACTTGAGTCCTTTATATTGAGAGGTTTGAAAAATGTAAGCAGTGATGTTGCAAAATACAACATCATTAGGATCTTGATATTTCATCATATTACTAGTTTTCAATCATTGGTTCAGAAGTAGTTGAATTGTCTTTGTTAGTAAAAATGATGCCTGGATCAGGAGCACCTCCCTGGCATCCTGATGGAATGGTGTCTTTCCTACATCAGCAAAAAATCCCTGTTGCATCCTGTACTACCTGTGCGTCAGACTCTCTGGAAGTTGTAAATGTAAACTTGCAATCTGGATGGGCGCGCCCGGACCTATCCCGTCCGGACGTGCCCTTTTTGCATCTGCACATACCAGACATTGCCGGGGTGACTCTCCCTGGCAACTATCCACCCAGCATGCGGGCCTTGGCCCAGAGACCCTGGACATCTGCAGACGCTTGTCTCTCTTTGCTGATGCATCCACCGTACCGATTCCTTCCTCCGGAGCCCTCTTGATGTTTGCTCTTTCCAACCCATTCTTCCCCCCATGACAATTATCCATCCAGTGTACGGACCTTGGTCCAGACACCCTAGACATCCACAGATGCTTGTCTCCCTTTGCAGACACATTCTCCCCACCGATTCCTTCCTCCGGCCCCCTCTCTATATTTGCTCTCTCCAGCCCATTCTTCCCCTCATGATAGCTTGTTTCGTCTGCACTCTGTTTGCATTTCTCCATGTACTTGATCTTCTCGTCCAGACGTCCCATATTCTCCCTCTGATCTTGCCATAGTCCCCTGTAACGGACAGGGTCTGAGGGTTGGGTAGCCCAAGGCACACCATGATCAGGGCAGGCAGGAATCGGGAGACAAGGTCTAGGTACATGTCACAAACTGTGACTAAGTAAGGCAGATTTTACATAGCTTAGAATTGTAAGCTATACGTATGTTGGATTTTCACATGACGCACGAGTACGTCATAGGTTATTATGTTTATTTGTTCGTGACTCACACTTGCGAGTCACACGATGTTATGATTTTCGCACATGACTCAAATGAGGAGTCATGGGTTTCACTCAGGTGACCCGAGTTGCGCACCTGACTTGGTTATTATGTTTTGATTGGTTTTAGGTATGTTGCGCAGCGACTCATAAGAGTCAGCTGAGGGATTTCGCATGACTCATAGTTATGAGTCATAAGGTTTGCGTGACGCAAAAGTATGAGTCACACAAGGTGAAGAGCAAATATATAAAGGGGTCAATAGGACTCCAGGTATGAGCTCTTCACACGTTCTTCTTGTTTATTTCCTACCTTTACGTTATTACAATAAAACCTACCTTTATGCTCTTTAAGATTTATCTTAAGAAACCCGAGAAGTGTCTTTCCTCCCATAAGGGGTGGTCATCTCTCATACGACTATACACAAGGAAGTCCTAAGCGAGGACTTGAGAAGTTCAGAGGAATAGGCACGATAAGATAGAAGTCAGAGGACTTAGCTATTGATATTGCGTAGGCATAGGCCTAAGAACTATTACTTCAGACGAAGTAAGAATCGTTACCTGTCGCAAGCTCCTACTCGGTAAGATTCTTGACACTATTAGAGTCTTCTAACAACCCATAAAGAGCCTACAACAAAGGGGCACCTGTAGGCATGATTGGCTTAAAACCTTCCTAGATGTCTCTGGCACTACGCGGGCCAACTCCGAGTCTGGGGACCCTTCCGGATAGCTTACGCTAACTCCCTGACCTTTTGTCCATTTCACTCCGTTCTTTTTGGAGAAGGTACTTCACCTTCTCGCCCTGGCCCCCTTGTATATCCTGCAAACAGCCTTCAGTCGGACGGATGGCAGCGATGTATACAGTGTTATGGACAGGTCTTCAATGATTCTATTTAACTAGTAAGATGGCAACTCCACCCAATTTGGCCCATGACGCCTGGGCGAACTCTGGGGCCACAGGTACGTGTTAGGAATAATCCTGCCAAGTTACAGCATGTTCGGAGCATTCTAGCTCCTCCCGTAGTCTTCCAATCAGCATGGAACCCAGTGCCCGCTGATCGTTATTGCGTAAGAAACAATCCTAATATTTCGCGAAATCTCTCCGACAACATTTCGGACGGAAGGTAGGGTAATAGTGACCCAAATGGAGGGTAAGTATGCCCATGGTGACATGCAAATAGTCTCCATGGTAGGGTAACGTGACCTCCTTAGACAGGGTAAACTCACGCGGCCTTCCGACCCATCCTTAGGCCGAAGCGGATGTGGTCACGTTACTTCCTCTACTTAGGTACACCTATTCCTTAAGTACCTTCTGTTCTTCGGGATACCCGGACCATCAGACATCCCTCGGACATGCGCTCATATGCCCGCCTAGTCTACCATATAACCTCTGGGTCTTAAGCATGGGCGTAGACTTAGGTTGCCATAGCTCTATAAGATAGGGTCGTTACAGTCAGACGGCAATCGGAAAAGTACTCAAACTTGACTTCGACCAAGGTCACAAAATTAGACAGATCTGCAATCACTCCCTTGAAGGTGGAAATGCCACTTGGCTTCTCCGGGCTCTTTCGTCTTGACTGTGACAACGAACGAGAGTGGTTTTGCAACTGTTCTCGTAGTGCATCTGCCTGACAGTCATGTCGGTCCTTCTTCTCATCATTCCATCCATTGCGACGTGGTCCCAAAAAGGGTAACATCAGGTAGGGAATAGGCGTCATCATCACAGCTATCATCAGAGTCAGAATCACCAGGGTCCCCTCCGCCAGCCCCAAAGAATCCAGCACTGGGAGGTAGATTACCACCCCCGCTGCCTTCAGTGTTTCTACCAGAGGTTTCCCTTGGTCTTTCATAACCATCAAAAGGCTCGCTTTAACTACTACAATTCTCGTCATCAGCAGGACTACCTCCCGACAGTACTTGTGCCAGTACTGAGCCTGATGGCTAGTTACTCCCTGACCGTATAGGGGTTGGCGCAGCCTGTGAAACCTTTAACCATTCTGTCAAAGCCGGGCAGGTCTCTGGGTGTCCTGGAGGTCCTTCATAACCTTTGTGCATGTAATACCCACAGCTGGATTCTCTTTTCTCTCCTCCCTTTCATTTGTCCTGTCTGACTGCCACCGGAGGACTGTCTGGTACCTCAAGTGGAGGGGGGTAACAAAATCGGTGATGTCTTGCCATGTATCCACGACAGGTTGGAGTACAGTAAGGTCCTCGTGTAACCAGCGGTGGTTCAAAACACAAAAAGCCCGCATTGCCCGCAGGTTTAACCGGTGCGGTTGGCACTTGAATCAATGGCCGGCTGTGTTGGCTTGGAGTAGCTGTGATAGGGACGGGAGTTCCTTGAGAGGCGGTTGCAGGATGTTGGTTTCCTCGCCCACGATTTTCGAACATTTCCAATGGCCTTTCGACACGTTCCACTAGAGCCAGTGATCCGGGTCGCATGACAGGCCATGGGGTGGCAACAGGAGTTGGGGACGGTGTCAGAACTAATCCCAACGGTGCAGGAGGAGGGTAGAGGGTCTGTGAT